AGTAAGGGCACAGAGAATCCATTTATGTTGTCCAGTTGTCAAATTCCATGTACTAGGTATGAACAATGTTATCCTCTGAAAATTTCAACTTTTGTCACACAATCACATTTATATAATCCACTACTTTCTCCCAAAACTTAGTAAGTATAGGACATTGTAAAAACACATGTTTTAAAGAAGCATTATCCTTATTACATCTCCAACAAAATGCTGTCTTAGACAATCCTTTTCTATACAAGCATAGTGGAGTCCAATAAATTCTAAATATTATTTTTTGTTGTATAAGTCATGATTTAAGGTCCATTGACACTCTTGCTATAGAAGTTAAAACACTATCCTATTGTCTAGGCAATATAGGAACCTCTAATTCTTTATTTCACTCATTTCTTAGCATCTGTATATCAAATTGATTTATTGATAACAAATATCTATAAAAATTAATAGGTTTTTTAGTTTTAAAGAATGTAACAAGTTGTTCTAGTATCTCAGGTGTCTCAGAAGCTGAAAATGCTGCTGGTCCAAATAGTGTAGTTAACAAATGTTGTAGCTATAAATATTTCCATTGGGTTACATCTGATAGACGATATTTATCTCTTAACACAGTGTATGTTAAAAATTCATCTTCATTATCTATCAGTTGGTCCAGAATCAATATCCCTGCTTCCATCCAATTTTTCCATATCATCTTTTCCCAATTTTTAAAGTTGGGTGTCCCCATAAAGTCAATTTAGCATGGGAAAAGGGGTCAAATCTTTTTTTATTAGACATTACTTTCCATAGTTTTCTGACTGACATAATTGTCTCCAGAGATACTAGAGTTCTCTAGTAGAACTCTAGGCAAAGGAGAATGTAAATAATGTTTTCACTTTATATTGTCACTGTTAAAGGTAGCTTCACATAAGATCATTGTTTGGGGTATTCTCTGCAACTTTAAAAGGGAGACGTGATTTTAGCTTTTGATATTTAGCAGGATTACATAAAAAAAAGAATAATTTTACATAATTAACTGTATATTACTTGTATTATTTTCCAGTTAGATCTAGTCACTAAGAAGTCTAATATGACTTTTCCAGAATCTCTAGGTCTTCGCAGTAAAGTTTTGCGTAACATTGAGGAGCTGAGGAACGAGATGAAATCTGCTTCTCTAGGTATTCCTGATGAATTCCTGTGCCCCATAACCAAAGAGCTTATGAAAGAGCCAGTGATTGCTGCGGGTAGGTGTGATGAAGTTGACTTCGCTATATTTATCGTTTTGGTGCAGGGATTGAGATTTAGCAATTAAGAATATGTGCTTATAAAGCAAGCTCTGTATATTTTTTCCCACCAAAGGAATAGGGGAAACATTTTAGTTTTAATTATTACCATGTTGATTCCATTCCCAGAAACAGCAATAGAAATTCATGTATATGAATAATAGTATAAGCATGATATAGTGAAAGTCTATTCCCAATACTATATTTTATATGATGGAGGGTGTGCCCAGTACGTAGTTTTTCTGTGTTCACATTTGATATGTGCATAACTGGCTGCCCAGTACTGCGTAATGTTCAGATATGTCACTTACAAGATGCATGAAGGAGATATAGAATATCTCATTAAATCTGAAGAGTTCGAGCGAAGTTGTGAGAAGCCAGAAGCTGGAGCTTTTATCATACATGATTATTAACACAGTTTTTAGATTTAAAAAATATTGTTTGTTCTTCAAAGACATTAAATTATTTTATAATGTTTTGAAAGTTCAGTAATGATGTGTAATGTTCTCAAGCTTATTCCAATGCCTTGTATTTTTTTTTTTTAATTCTTCATCTGGCGAGCATAATTCTGAGCCTCAGAGATTCTGTTTGTAATGCTATTGAAAAATTCCTGGCTTTAAAGGTTCTTGTGCAGAACCATAATTCATGGCAGAGCCAAAGCTTCCCCTTGTGTATTTCAGTCTGGCATGTAGAACTCTTGATTGGTTCTCAGTTATGATCATCCTTTAGAGTTTTAAAAGAGCCAGGACACTTCACTTTCACTTTTGAGTGTGTCCTCAAGCCTCAGGACTACTATCTCAAGGGAGTTTGGATGCATTTTACTGCTTCATTTAAAATTAAGTTCATAATCTTAGAATACACACACACTTTGAACTTAATAGTATTGTATATAGTCTATGGATATATGATTGTCAGTGTCATATATGATCGCTGATAGGTTTGAATAATGGGAAGAGATTGTTTACATGATTAAAGCAATCTGTCAACCTAGCTTCTTTAAAACAGCATATCTCTGGCAAAGGTTTATGGAAAGGCTATCATTCTGTTCAGTTCTCCACTATGTATAAAGTTTGTAAAAACATAGAGGTCACGTGAACATGAGAACATACTGGGACAGGTATTTTGTAAGGGAGCTTGCAAGTTACTGAACTGATCTGAGGTAGGGGAGGGGCGTTTGGCTGATTGTGTGGGACTGTGAATTCTTGGCCTGGGTGTGGGTTTGCTTGTTTGCTGAGCACATCAGCTGAACTTACAGATGTAGCTGACTAATCAAGTGACCGCTAGTGGCTAGAACTGCATTCCTCAGCAAGCAGCTAACCCTCAGCCAGCATTCCTAGGAAGAGATCAGGCAACAAGGAGTTCATGACTTGAGTGAGCCAACAAGAGAGCAACAAGGACCAAGGAGTTTAGCTGGGGAGGAACAAGCCAAAGGCAGATCCTGCTGAAAAGATGGAGACTGAGGAATCTGCTGCGATGACTTGCCAGGAGTGCACTGTTTATACTAGAATGGTATCTTAATTGCACCTGTTGCAAACTGAAGTTTGTCTTCTTAATGAAGGATAAGGTAAAAGAATGAGAGGCCATCTTCTCGTAAGACTCATCAAGGAAGGTAAACAATACACCAGGATTGCACAGAGCTTTCTATGAAGCAGCAAAAGATCTCCAAAGAGGGCAGGGCACAGAATGTTTGGGAGCAGAATAGATAGGAAGAGGGCCACAAAGAGGAATACTGTAGTGAGTACCTGATGATATCTAGCAAAAAACAGTAGACAAATCAGGAGTAGGCCTATGCCTCTGGAGCTGACAACCAATTTGAAGGTGTGTACATGAAAAGTGAGCTACAACTCCTGAGATAATTCAGTTACCCCAGGCTTTCCAAATAATAGAAAGGACTCTCAATGCTGCATGGGTCAACAAAACCAAAGCTTTCCACTGAGGTGAAAGAGAAGAATAATGTTGGTGTTGGTGAAAGAGTCACCCTTGCAAGCATCAGAAACAGATGTGTGTGGACCAGGCAAGTTATTGTGAGAAGAGTGATGTCTTCTAGGTGCATATATTTAGAACTTCATGAAAATATTACTATGGCTCATCACCCATTCATTCTAGTCGCTGTCTGTTCCTTCTGATGCATATGGGAACAAATGGAGGAAGGAACAATAGTGATGCTATTGTATGTGGATATTATAGACTACATGGGCAAAAGAAGTGGATGAGGCATTTTTGTATCAGATAACCAGTCTGCATGTAAACATGATAATGGGGGAATTCAATTATCCTAATTTCTACTGGGAATTTTACTCTGCCAAAAGTCAGAGGTTCAACAAATTCCTATCCTTGTTTGCTGACAACTTCATTTGTCAGAAGGTGGAAAAGCACAAGAGGATCTGCTATCCTGGACTTGCCTGCTGAAGAGCTGCATGCCATTTATACATTGTAATGCACATAATTGGAAACATGCATCATGTTTGGAATTAAGCTGGATTGCCCCCTGTATGCATCTTGATTGTCACTAGAGGTATACACAAAGTGTGCTTCATGAGAGAATGAAGCCTTAGACATTCACCCAGGCCATTCCAGGGGGAAAGTGAAATCCAGGTCATTGAAATTGATTCATCTTTTGGCCAAGACAAATCCACTGAACTGCTAAAGGGGCAAGTTGACTAAGACCTTGTCTCTCTCTCCTCTCCTCATCTTGTTGCCCTGCACCCACTCAGTGGACCTGCTCTGCCTCTCCAGCATCATGAGCCTTGCCATCCACTGCTGTTGCTTTCAAAAAAATCAAATTAGTTATGTCAGTATTTGATATCAGAACAGGAGACCTCATAATTCCTAAGGAGATTTGAATAATTTTCTGTAACTCCAAATTAAGGATTTAATTTTAGAAATTTGTCAATGATTAATGAATTCTCAGTTTTGTAAGTTAAGCACTTCTTTTTTAGCTATTCTGTTTTACCTACTGCAGTCTTTGATACCATGCCAAGCTCTATTCTCAAAGGCTTTGCAGTCTTTTCAACAGTTGCTTTTGGAGGGACAAGGAACCAAAATGGGTGGAAAGTTAAGTACTTTCTGCTGATGTAGGGATTAGGAAGCTGTGATCCTCCAGCCTTGGGGCTGTTAACTCCTGTATTGTTTTGGATGGGGTTGCACTGTCATAGCAGATCCTGTGCACGATTTGAGGATCGTCCTGGACTTGCAGCTTTGTGTTGTATGCCAGTTGCCCCTGTTCCTGAATCAGGAGGAGAACCTTTTCTGCTGTGGCACGCATATCTACCCGTCCCATTAGATCCGGCAGAAGAGGCATGCTCTGGGTTCTGTCCACAAGAGAGTGCCATCTGGCGGGGCCCAGGAAGAAAACCTTTTACCCCTAGAGATCAAACTCACCCTGAACCTGCTGGCCTTCCGCAAGGCCTTAAAGACCTGGTTTTGCCATCAAGCCTGGGGCCCTGATAGCATGAGTGAGCCCATTTTCTGGTTGTATTGATTGTGGGATGTTGTGAATGTTCTCCACTGCTATTTTATGCTATTTATGTTATTTATAATTTTGGTTATTGTTTTTATTCTGTTTTAATTGTTAGCCACCAAGAGTCATGTATATTAGATGGGTGGCCATATAAAGTCATTACATAAATAAGTCTTCCCTGAAAAATAGCTATAGTAGCTAAGCATAACGGAAATGGACGCTCACATCTGAAAGCCCTCGTTCTTGATGCCTGCATTATTCTGCCTAAATGATTTCATTCTTATTTCAAAAGGAAGGTGAGGGAAAGTAGGTTAGAAACCTCCAAATCAGATGTTTCCAAGCTTCTCGAGAAAGCCTGTGTGACTTAAATGTAAATAGGCAACGGCTTCTACAAAAATTGGCAGTACATTTATACATTATTTTTTTCTTAACAAAACTGAATGAGGACTAGTAAATGCATTTATCTGCTAGTCACATCAGTTTTGTGCTTCTGCTTTATATGAGAACAGCTTAGAACATGAGGGACTCTGTGCAGCAGCTCTGATTCCTTTGACAGCTTTGTGATGAATTTTTGGAAACTAATTTTAAACTCAGGGTTAAAATAACAGATGCAACATGCTGAGAATTCTAGCCCACATTTAGCAAACTGGAAGAGGTAGAGGGAGATGTATTTATCTACCAGTAGAAAATGTTTAGTAACACCTTTTTTATTGTAATCGTTTTAATTTCATGGAAATCAGTTGTTTCCGCATGAGAAAATATTCATATTGTCTGATGAATTAATATATGATACAAAGTTCAGACATATTTGATTGGAACACAATGTTTTAATTCTTGCTCTATCTTAAACATCAGTGAGACAGATATTGCTGTATCTAGCTAGTACACATATTATTTGTATAACCTCTCACACCCAAATAGCTCAGTTTACTATCTAATATGTAAGAGTTGTGCATATATTCAAGTCAGCATTGCCTTTTTGCTCCTTCTGATAAAAAGTTCTGTAGATGCATTATAAAAAAATACTTTAAAAGCTAATAGTGCATAAAAAGAACAGTAATCAGCACAAGGAAAAGTAAAAAAAATATATAAAAATTACCATCCAGCATAATGTGTGTACTTTAAAAATTCTTTAAACAAAATTATACACGCCAGTGCAGTTGGTCGTGATCTGACTATACAAAACTGCTTTATACAAATTATTTGATTCCCCAATTATGTAGGCCAACTTTCTAAAGTTTATGTAGCAGCTTTCTAAAACCTTAAGCAAAGAGAAAGTGAGCCTTTTCTATCTGTAAAACCTACATTCTCCCCTTGTATTTCTGTTAAACACAAGGGCATTTGTGGTTGGACCTACATAAAATTGAAATGTTTACAATACAAGGAAAATATTTATCTGCAAGTTCTTTCATTCTTCCATAAGGTTATATCCTTATTTAGCATTATTGAGAATGAATCTGTGTCAAATCTGTGAAACCTTAATTTTTGTCAAAGCTGCATTTTTATTTTGGGGCAAAGGCTTTGCCTGCAGTTACAAAATGATGTCTTTCCAGTACATGCAAAGTTGTAGTCTTTGGTGAGGCTGTGATCTGTTAATGTACCACCCAGGACTTACTTTTAAGGACCAGGAGCAGGAAAAAAGTGTAAGACGTACTTTTCCTATTTACATATCGCAGGTGAAGAGAGTTTCAGTACATGAAGACTGTCTTTGTATAGTTCAAATCCTGGAAAGCAAGTTTTAAATTGCCCAGAGAAGCCTCCTCACATAGCACAGCTCTGCAATAGTAGCTCTCCACATACTGAAGATCAGAGCCAGCACACCTGACCCTAGTTTGGTATAGATGTATGTATTATGGCTGTGCAAACCCATTGGGATCAATTCACCGTCCTGTGGTCTTTCAAAATCTCTGCATGGCTGCTTCAGGGGCTTCCCCACAGCATCTGAATATGAATGCCTGGACAGACAGCATTTCCAATCTGGATTGCTGCCAAAGCAGGGGGAGCCTTCAAAGCAGCTGTGAAGAGCCATCTAAAAGACATGGCATTTTGTCACTTCAAGCAGTGGTGCTGAATGATTTTGCACAACATTAAATTGCATTTAATGAAATTTTCTACATTGTATTATGTACTGATCTACTGTACATTAGTAGATTCCTATGTGGGTCAGAGTCAAAGGATGCAGTTACAAAGTTCATACTGATCTGTTCTAGATGATGTATGTAAATTTGTGTCTGGGAGTGTATGTATCTATTGATACTGAGTTGGTCCATTAAGGAATAGACTAAATATCGTGTTTTCTTCTGTGTTGTGAAATCCTTCTAACATATAGTTTTAAGGGGTTTTTTTGTAGTGCGCAACTGTTTTCAGGAATGCTTCTTTCTTTCTTTAGATGGCTATTCCTATGAGAAGGAAGCAATGGAAAATTGGATCATTAAAAAGCGGCGTTCTAGTCCTATGACAAATCTCCCTCTTCAGAGACTTGTACTTACCCCAAACCGAACTCTAAAAATGGCTATTAATCGCTGGTTGGAAACTCAGTCAAAATATAGTGAAAAGCAAACACTCTAAAGACAATGTAATTTTTTTCAAAGTAGTGGAAATGAAACTAAAGGTATGTAAAACATTTCAGTGGTAAGCTGCTTCCTGTTGATATAGTTCACTTTTGTTATCATGGCATAACTGATGACATTAGCTCAATTAAGTATCTTGATCCTTGATAAATGTCAGCTATTGGGTGTTACAAATGATTTATGTTTCTGCTATTGAATGAAATTCTGGCTGCAATGCTATTTATATTGGAATGGTTTTCATAAACAGGAGGAGGACTTGGTTCTGAATATGTATGCATGGGATACATTTTATTAATTTCAAGAAAATATATAGCATGTGATAGATCATGCTCTGTAATAAGTTATTTAGCAACCAGCAAAGTAATTGTGTGCCTTTTCCTAGCTTGGTTTGGATATCAGAGCTTACCAAGAACTCCTGTGCCCCACCCATAGTACAGAATTGAGGTCCGAGAGATACACACATTTTTCTGTCCCTGTCCAGGATCTCTGAGTGTATTTATTCCCACGAATGTAGGAACACCATGGCCCTGGCAGAGAGCAACAGGTGCTTAGATCTTTGGGATCAAAAGACTTTCCTGCCCTACCCTGCCTTCTGCCAAATGCCCTTGTGAGATGGGTCTGGTGTTGTGTTTTCTTGAGCTCAGAAAGAACCAAGGCCAGAGCTAGCAGAAAGCAGCGAGGGAGAACCTGATGTTAGCTTTCCAGCTCTAAGGTTTCCTAGGAATTTCATCGAGTAGCATGACATTGTGTTGTTTGATTTTGCATGGCCTGGTAAGTGTCAGTGGCAAAATTACTACTGCTTACTACTAGCACTGAAATCATGTTCCTTTTATTAGCTATTACAAACAGTCTTCAAAGGACTATGATCAAGAATGAAGTGAAAGTGAAAAACTTGCAAACTATGCACAGAAGCTTAACTAATGATAACTTTGTACAACTGCAGTACTCCTATTTTAGTGCCTTTCAAGATGTGCAGCCTATATGTAAAATAGACAATTCAACCAAAGTCTTGGCATGGAATAGCAATCAACTCATTGGAGACTGGATGTTGAGTTGATCTACAAATACTAAACACTCACCTGCGTTCCAACAGTGTTTTGACCAGGGAAGCAGATTGTTCATATCTTTACATTTCAAACAGACCCTGATTAAACTTGCATTAGCAATGACCTCTCAGCGTTGTGCTATAAAACTACAGTACTGAACTAGAAACTATATTAATAATCTTTTATTTCATAAGGGAAAAATACAGTAGCTGTGCAAAAAATAGATCTACAGAACAAGAGAATAAGATTGTACAAATACCAAGATAAACAATAAATAAGCTACAGAATAGATTAACAAGTCATTCCAAAATGGACTTTTTAATGATTTTTTTTTAAAAAAAGTGTGAAGATGTTGTTATAATGTAACATACATACTGTACATGTGGGAATAATTTGTTAAAAGGGCTACAGAATTTCCAGCTTATATAACCAGCCTTTATTACTTACAGGAACATCCTTACAAATTAGTCTCCTCAACAACATCTTGTAATTTAAATAGATATTTCCTACTGCAATACTGAGGAAAGTATCAATGGCCTTTATGTAAGCTTATGTCAGATAGTAATTGGATGTTCTATAAAAATACTCTATGACCTGTATTTCTCTTCCTTTTTCCAACATAACACCTCAAAAGATGTTTAGATAAACTATGTAAAGTGCTGTTTGTATGTTGTTAACTTGTCATATGACTCAGTGCAATAACAAAGATGTTGAATAAAATGCATGCAAAATTTTACTTCTTGCCTTGCAGTGATGATAGTCAGCCTCAATTGCATGGAATAAAATATGGCTGCTGAAATATTTGCAGAGATGATAGAAGTTATGCCTGCCATGTTTACAAAAGTGGGAGAATAACAGTCTTCCTTCTAAGAAAATATTCATGGACAAAAGTGAATGTTCCGTGGACTCCGTCATCTCCCACAAATTAATCCAATTTAAACAATAAACAATATACATGACTGTACAAAGTGAGTTTTATAGCACAATCCTATAGTTGTCTGAGAAGTAAATTATGTTCATTGGGACTTAGTCCCTAGTGAGTGTATATACCATTGCAGCCTTAGGACTGCTGATTTTTAAAAGAAAAAAGAAAAAATTTTAGTATGCTATACTGCCCAAGGCTGCTTAAATCCACACTTGCAGAGTTTGGCATAAATGATGGAACGTTTCAACTGTGTTAACAAACAGCTTAAGAACTCATTTCTCAATTAAAACTATAGGATATTATGAGTAGCTGGGTTAATGTTCATACTGCAGCTATGAGATCACATTGTTGTTTACTACTCCCTAAAATACGATTAATAGCAGTAACCTATATGCCACTATTGCAGTAAATTTTGCACAACCAAAAGCCGTGGTTCATCCCTGTTATTAATTTGCAATAAAACAGCAAATCATACGTTAGATTCTACAAAAGATCGCTTTGGTTTTGCGGAAGTGATGTGACTTGAATGAATGTCTTTATTAAGCTGAGAATGCTGTTTGGAGAGAGCTTCCTGATATAAATGAGCCACTGGCTTACCTATCCTGTTATCTTGTGGGCTGGCAGATGCTTGGTGCTTTAGTTCCTCAAGTTCTTTAGACTGAGTTCCATTTTGGACATTGTCTCCTACTATTATGGAAGAGGAAGAGAAAGTTGAACCCTGATTTGCAGAGTTGCTTGGTGGTTTGGAAGAAAACTCACAGCTTGCAGATAAAGTTGCCCCAGAACTCTTCAGGACCCCTTCTGTAGCTTGGCTGTGCCAGCTGCGATTTAATGGGTTCATCTGCTGCTGTTGGAAGCGTACAGTTTTATCCATGATCCCCATGAATGGAATACTGCGAGACCGGTGTTCTACTGATCCACTCTGAGCTTGACCAGCTTTGTTCTCCTTGAGTCGAGTGTCTGGATTTTGTCCTACCATGCACTCAGAAAAGCTGCTGCTAGAAGACAAGCTGCTTGTTGAAGTGGAAGGTACCATGCTGACCGAAAGTGAACTGGCACTACTTTGCTGCCTTAATTCACCAGTTCCTTGACTTAATGATGGAGGAGGATGCACAGTCAGCTTCTCATGTGTTTTGGACTTACTCATGAAAGAGTGAGAAGATCCTTTGTCACTGTGCTGCAAGTAGGGAATCTGGCCAGCTGCTAATCTTTCACTGAAGAGTGCACAGCTACTGCCTGCCGATACTGTGTGTGCCCCATCCAAGTGCTGGGCTTTGTTTGGATTCATAAGGTGTCTGGAAGTCACAGGACTTGGAGGAAGATATTGGAGAGGCTGAACCTTTGTGCCAGACTGACTAGAACTAGGTCTTGCTCCAGACTGGACAGAATTCAGATGCTGATTGGTTTTTACTATCTGAGCTTGTTTCGTGGGCTGCATAGACAAGCCAGGCTCTCGCAAATATTTACAGCTGGCTCTGTTTGGAGGAGATACAGGCCTAAATTTCTGCTGGGTACCTTCCTGAGGGTTTCTACTGCAAGATAAAGAAGCCTGGGAAAGTGGCAATCTTGGTCTAGCTGGACCAGGTTTCTGTTCACACAAAAATTCCTCCTCTTTTATCTCTTCCAGGCTGAAGTGATCCTGCACAAGTACTTCACCCTCATAGTCAGAGTCGTTGCTCTGCTGCATTGCCTGAAAACACTGCTGCTTTTGTTGCTGAGTTCTCTGGAGCTGTTTGCACTCCTCTTCAACTCGAGCTAGCAGTCTCTTGATTTCTTGGTTTCCAGGGCACAACTTTATGGCTTCTCGCAGATCCGTGAGGGCTGCCTGAAATTGCCTTAAAGGAGGGAAATCCAAAAACAGTGAGCTTGGCACATTGCTATTTTCACAACCTCAAGCCAAGATATATATTTTGGCAGCTTCTTCTTATATATCTTATAATCCACTTATAAATCCCTTTCAAGAGTGGCATAAAGCTCTTAGCTTTTTTTCCCCAAAGCAATTTAAAAAAAAAGCTATCAATTAGGTGAAGTTGCCCATAGCAATAAAACTGGTTTCATGAAAGTAGCATTTTTTGGGGGGGGGGTAATGGGCTTCCTTCTGAAGGGGATACAGGACACTTGTGTAGAATGCAGCAAGTCCTGAGGGTCTGGAAGGCCTCCCCTGCCAGGGCTGCAGCCTTCTCTTAACACTGCCTTCTCAAGACATAAGCTTATCGGTGTTAGCTTTATACTATGATAAGTTTAGGATTTGCTGTAATATGCTTCTGGACAGCATACAAAAAACATAAAATGCTTTTTATAATAAAAAAAAAAAGATGAACAGTGCAAAAATAAGACTAGCAATGATGGTGCCTGTGATCTCAAAACTAAAAAGTTTAAAAGTTAAGGAAAAAAAGACAAATTAGATACCACAAAGGTCAGACACAGTAACCAGACAACCCCCCCTGGGGGCAATATTCCTTAACGGACCAATATTGCCAGTAAGTTCCTCTTTTTCAGTAGCATCCCACTTTAGTAATTTAATCAGGACACCCAGAAAAAAGGCCTCATAATAGCATTCTTCACATCCTGCGGACTCTAGTTATTAAAGGCATTAATATCACCACCATTTTGAACTGGGCCTAGATACTACTTGGAAGCAACAGCAAGCAGATCAGAAATAGGGCTATTATTGTGGCCCTATTTAAAACCATCTAAAAACTGCAGACCATTCAAAGGCAGTTCTCTCTGTTTATATATATATGCAACTCAAATTGCACTCCTCCAAATAAGACCTAATTTAATCTCTGTCCACCTGTTTAATGTATTAAATAATATGTTACAATGCTAACTCAGTAAACATTCTCCCATACCAGAGACATGATTCTTTTGGACAAAAGTGTACAACCTGCTACTCCCAGATATATGAGTGGTAGGCCTCAAAACTCTTTCAAAAATTACTGACAAACAGCAATATTTAACAGAAAAAAACCATTAAATACATATGGAATAATACTGCTGTTTTAATTAACATAATTTTCTATTATTACTTTCAAATTAAATAAAATGTATTTGTTATCTTGGCCTCATCCAGTTTTTAAAATGTGGCTCCTGACTCAAAAAAGTTAATGTATTCTTGTTTTAGACAGAGTATAGCCATGTCCAAAAACGTATCTCGGTTTCAAGGGGAAACAGTTAATATAACCAAGCCTTGCTTTTAGCAAAGCATTGTCCTTTTCCCTGTTTAGAAAACTATACCAAAAAAGGAAAACCCAGGGGGAGGGGCTCAATTTGCACATCCTAATTATTCCCTTTTTTCACCTTGGTGTGAAGTCAGTGTTTGATTATGGCATTTAAGGAGGGGGAAAAAAAATATTCTAGCCATTTTTTGCGCTTCTTGCAAAACTCTCCCAATTAATTTTTTTCCCTCATAATACCGTAAGTAACATCAATAAAGAGTTTTTTGTACAGTTCCACAGACTATCATGGCATTCCACCAAGACTGGAAATTCTGTCAGCATAAGCAAACAAAAACTGGTAAGGGAATTAACCCAAAATATCCATGGACAGCTTGGAAAACAGTAGACAACTTCTTTGTCTTTTGTCAAAATGTAATAGGGTACAGATATTGAAGGGCATATCAGTTTACATGGGCTGTTTCTTACTTTTTAGAAGGTCATTCTTACACATCCGTTTAAAGGTTACTAAAATAAATATTATCGCAAAAGGACTTTAAGTACCTGCTGTTCCTCTTGGCTCTTGCCCTAGCATAATATGCTTCATAGGAGGTGGGTTTGAGATCAAGCGCCTTGGTAGCAAACTCCTCCGCCATGCCAAAATCCTGCCAAAATCACAGTTCAGAAATTAATGTAACCAACCATCGACTGAGGAATAGCCTCAAGACATCTTCCTAATCACACTTCCACTGATTGTTTGAATCTGTTTTGTAAGCAAACTATATCTGTAATACAGATGAATGTAAGAGGTGTGTACTGACATTGTTTTCAGAAATGCCTGGATACCGCAAAGATCAGACATTATAGAAGACAATGTCTGAAAAGACATACAAGCACTCCCTTAACACAGAGGTTAACAATGCAGGGTCTACAATACACTTAGATGGTGCCCACTGGCCTCCCCCCACCCCCACCCCAAATTTAAACAATTCTGAGAGTGCCAAATCTTTCCAGAGCTCTATATTCTTGGATGAAACCTTAAGTTATTAAAAACATTATTTAAAAAAAAAAAACCCGACAAACTGCCTGTCATCTGAAAAAGCTGCTGACCTTAGCATTATCTAAAATGGCAGTTCCACCCAGGATTATTTTCTGCAACTTACGCCATGGAGAAAAACTTGGAAAAGGAGCTTACGTTAGTTTTTCTGCGACATCTTGACAAGTTTAGATATAAGGAAACCCTGAGTTCATTGAAAGCTTTCATTTCTTCTCCAAAACTCTCTCGAGGAAACTTCCTTAAGGCATACTGATACCGCTGTGCTGCCTCCTTCATCTTCCCTTTCTGCAGATCAAAAGCACAGAAATATAGTTAATTTCACTGATAAAACTTTTCACCTTTAAAATAAACCGACAGTCCAGCAGGTATCACTAAAGACTAAAAAAAAGTTGATCTTTATGATAAAATAGTAGTAGTCCACATATTTCACTAAGAATTTTTATTGGATAATGCAGACCTGGAACTTAATGCAAATTGTTTGGGGTATAACTGCATGTATATCAAAGTAAAAACTTTCAGGATTTATCTATGTATAGCCAAGGATCTGCTATGTGATATGATATGAACTACAATGACTTTTAAAAAACGAATTAAATCTGAAACTGCATTCTGTATCTCAATGAAATTTACTTAGGATAGAGCCATTTTTAATATTTTCTTTTTTAAAATTAATTTTATTAAAGTTTACAAATACAAAGATCAAAAACTGATACAAACTGAGAAAAATATAAAAAGAAAAGTTCAAAGAGGGAGAAAAGAAAAAAAGAAATATATTAAAAAAAATGGCTCCCTCCCAGACAAGTGTAAACAACTTCAGTAACTTAACACCTTCCTAGTATTTCAAGAATTAAAAAACTTAATAAACTACATCCTTTTTAAATCTTTAAATCATTTTTAATATTTTCAGACAGTATCCTATGTAAATGTGCAACATCATACCAAACACTTTATAATTTATGATGCTGTTAGGAAGCTATTACATTTTGAAAGCTAACTAGATTTCAACTAACAATACAATATTTTACATAAAGTACAGAAGCAAATAATGCCGTCAATGAAACTTATTATATATGTTTCAGGTATTAATATTTTTACAATGAACTAAATACAAGGTGATGCTTTGTATATTTCCTAAAAAAACAAGTTATGCTTATAATTAAGACAGTATTTTTTCATTTATAGATTATTTTTCTTTTTTATTAGCATGTACATGTAAGGTGGGAGAAATAGATTATACCATTCATGATAGCATAATTGACAGGCTAGAAATCTATGGGTAAATTATATTGCTACACTGAAGTATGCACTGATTTTGTCAAATTTAGAGATATTTTAGATGGAAGAGTGCAGAGTATAACTATACATTGTAGAGAACATTTATGACGTTAATTATTAAAGGATATCTGTCTATACACGCGAACACATTTAAACTACAATTAACCATCACCATAAGGCACATTCACAACTGATAGTTCTTTAAAGACACTGAGAAGGTAGGAGTGGATTCTTAGGTGCAATTTCTTATTTTAAATGTCATTAAAATACGATATTCCACTTCCATCTTAACTTGAAAGTCATTTAATCAATTTCAACTATCCTACTGACTTTTTTTTTTAATGAACTGAAAGACATCCTATATATATTAACTACTAATATAACACTGCCTTATATCTAGATAGAACAAATTCCTTCATATAAGAAAACTACTTCTTCACATGTTTTGAAGAGTAAAGCATTTATGGAGGAATGTATTTTTAAGTGTCCTTGGGTAAAACACTGCACTGAGATATAACCCAAGCAAGACTCAATTAATTTGTGCGCACGTTCACCTAAAACATAACTGGCAATGGTTGAGTAATTTCTATTTGAAAAGTGTGTGGAGAAGCAGTGTAACAATTATACGTGGTGCTCCCTTACTCTTCCAATTGCAGTACATTACCTTATTTTTATTTTCTTTATTTTTATTTTATTTATTTTATTTTTATTTTTATTTATT